CTAAAGTAGAGTTTTGTTATATTTAATATAATAACTATATAGTTTTCGTAGGTCTGTCTTTTTGAAAAAGTTGGTGTAAGGGATCGTCAGAAAGAGTTTAAGTATATAATTTAATATATATATATATTATAGTTTTTATTATATATATAGTATACACACTATATACATTATGACTAAAAGTCTTAGTTATATGATATTTATGCCATTGCATAATTAGTATTAGTATGTATAAAACTATCTTTAATATACTAACAAAATATTTTTATTAAGTAATTTTACTACTAAACTTACTAATATAAAACTCTAATTCTAATTACTAATCTTTACTAATATCTGATATTACTATTCTTACTAACCCTAACCCTAACCCTAATTCTACCAATCCTCACTAACATCTAACCCTAACTCTAACCTTAATCTTGATCTTACTAATACTCCAACACTAAGCAAATATAAATAAAAATACTAAAATCAAATTTTTATAGTCAAAAAAAGCTACAATAACCCTATCTAAATTACTTATATTACCATAATCGAATTTTTTAAAGTCAATTATTCCACAAGCTACAATAAATCAAATACAAACATTAACTTATAACAAACCAAATTCTATAGAATTACTTGTCTCAGCAGACTTTAGATAATATGTAATCACTTTATTCTTATTAATCTTGGCTTCAATTTCTAAATCAAAACAATAATCTACATATGTAGTCACTTTATTCTTATCAATCTTGACTTCAATTTCTAAATCACTACTTGGTAAAATATATTAGAATCAGCCATATCTGCTGATTTTTTAATCTAAAAAATTTTATTATCTATTCAAATTAAATTTCAAGAATAGGTATAATATAAACTATATACATTAATAGTGTAAGATCCAAATATATACTTTATATACAAAAAAAAAAAAAAATAAATTAGAAAGACTAACTATTAGAGTATACAAAATTATATCATTAGTTTTTATATTCTGCTCTCATTAGTAAAGCAGATTTTAAAATTTTTTTATATAGTTAACCAATAGGCAAAATACTATTTCTAAAGGATCAGAATTAGAAATTATGATTTTCTGTATTTTATAGAATGCTATAGAAAGTAAAAATTTGAAATAATCTGAACAATAAGTATAAAATACTTGAGGTTTTTATTATAACTAACACAGAAATTATAAATTATAATATACAGATTTTATAATTTTAATATATAGAACCTTGCAGAATTCAAACTTATTATGAACAGAATTGGCTATTTATTGCTGCAAAGAATCATCATCCCTGATCAGAATAGAAAAAAATTTTGATATAATGTTAATTTTAATATAAACCTAATAATTTACTTTAATGACCAAAAATTATTACAAAGTTATTTAACAATTCTTTATTGTTTCTCAAATATTGACTATTTAATTGGATTATATAGTCATTATTGAGTATCAAATTTCTGTGCTATAGTTTTTATGCTTTTCATCAGAAATAGTATATAATTATTTTTTTTATACAATACCAATAATCTATCAGTATAGATAGATAATCAAATAATAAGCTTTAAGAAGTTTTTTCTACTATTATTTTAAAAAAAATTTCTTAAAAAAAAAAAAAGCTGTGTGCTCATGTTATGAATTACTATTCTGTAATATAAAAACTAATTCTATAAATTTATATAGCCTTATTATAAAATTTAAAAAATCATGTTAAATAGTTTGATTCTAATATTATTTAATATAACAAATTTTTTTTATTTTATTGAAAATTTTTACTTGCACAAAACTATTTCACTTGGCTATCATTGAAAAATATAAAAAGTGACTATTCAAGTATATTGCAATTCTTTAAATTTGATAAAAGCAGTTATTCAATAGCATTACTTGAATCTAACTTATAAAGCAAATTATAAAATATAAAATAGCTTTCTTATATTAATATAACATTATTCTTAAGCTTGTCTTTTTTCACAACTTCTTATATTATACCTCTGCTCACCACAATGTGTATATCTAATTCTAGCAACTCTGATCAGGTCTGCAAATAACTCATCATATTTAGCATGTTTTATTCTTTTTGATTGTCATTTTTGCATTAGATCTTCATTGTTCTCTGATTCTGAACTATTGCTACTAGATTCTGCTCTCTGTTTGATAACTATATTTTCATTATTATCTAATTCTGAATTTGTACTACTGTTTTCTAATTCAGATTTATTTAGCTTCTTTTCACAACTCCTTATATTATGTCCATACTCATTGCATTGTTTATATCTATTACTTTTAGTTTTAGTTTTAGATAACTGCTGATTAATTTTAATGCTAGAGAGAATATATTTTGTTCTTCACAGACATTCTTTTCTCTTTTTTGTTACTGGATTTTTGATTTCAACAATATTACTTTGCATATTTTCCTTTTTATAAATAATATTATTTTGACTACTTTAATGAGAAATTGGTGTGAGCTTGTTTTTTTGAAAGTTCTCAAGCAATGAAATTAATTGTTTATCTAATTCTAACTTAATTGATTTGTTCACTAGAGTTTTAGCAAGTTCAAAAACTTTGTTATAGCATTGTTTTTTTTTTAAATATGACTTTGCTAGTTTGATTTTTTTATCTGAAAATCTATGAATATTATTACCTAAAATAGATGTCTACTTTGTAGAAAGATATCATTATTAGAACTTCTTAACTAAACAAAACATCTATCATTAATGTTATTATTATAAACTTGATCTTTATGCCAATGTTGATTAATCATATTGATGTGAAATCTTGCTAATGACATTATTAATATAACACAGAAAAAATGTCAACAAACCCAGCCCAAAGTTGTAAACAATTTGCAGATACATTAGTAATTGATATTTGTTAAAATGAATATATAATGCAAAACATCTGAATATTTAACATGTTTTACTTCCCAAATAGAAATTATTTGATTATAATATTCATGTAGAATTGTTTTAGTGCACACTTGAGGTAAGTCAAAAATTTCATTTAAATATAAAGTCTCACAATCTACCTTTTTACTCTCCTCAAGAGCTGCATATTTTACTAATTCTTTTGCATAATACAAAAACTATAGTTCATTTGTTCACTAATTTTATTAACAATTGGCATAGTAATAAAAGTATAAATTTCTATATTTATATTCATAAAAACTGTATTGTAAATGGTTGGTGTTGAAATATAAGACATTGATTTTTTTCATGATATAAATTTACTGTTATCTTGGTATTTCTAAAGAAATTTGAAAATACAATTGCAAACCTCGAATAATAACACAACTTATTGGTTTAATTTTAATTTAATTGTATTTTAATACCTTCAACTTGACTTGTAGATTGCATACCTGCTGTAAAGCAGAAGCTTGTGTAACATTTTGCATATGCTTTTTTGCTTTTGTATAAATATTCAAGATATTTTTAAACTCTGGAATATTTTTTTATCAATTCAAGATACTGTTGCTCAAAATTATTAACTTCAAGTCTATTGTAACACTGAAAAAAAGCTTTGGCAAAATTTTTATATTCTTTTGACAATTTACTTTACAAGTTTTTTAGAATGTTTTGTCTAATATGTTATATATAGTATAAATGTCATGTTGAAGAATATGTTTGTGCAATTGCTACTTTTATTGCTAAATCAGCATCTGTAATTATAACTAAAAGTGAAAGATAGACAGCTTAAACAAACATTCTTAAACTCTATGAGTATGATTTTAATGATTCATCTTCAAGAAACATCTGTACAATCAGTTTTGAATTATAGTTATTATCAACAACTATAAAAAATAATAATAACAGATTGTGAATGTTTGATTTTGCTGTATTGTTATGCCTAACAACAAATCCATAATGAGTCTACAATTGAACTTGATATGATTTCATCCAAAATAAATGTGTTAGTACTCACATTAATGAATCTATTTAATATTCAATGATCTATTCAGAATTATGTGCTTTTTTAGAAAATAAATCATTTAATAAATTACAAGCATCATTAATTGTTAGTAATTTTTGGTAACAAAAATAGTTAATAGTATTGTATAAGTCCTTTTTTACAATATTCTTCTTATACTTGCTCAAGAGCAGCTGGTACTATTGAGATGCTATTATGTTTATTTTCAATCTCCAGAACTTAATTTTAGCAAGCATTGGTTTAGTTAATTTATAGAACTGAAGTAACAAATGAGCAGTATCTGGAAATAAAACATGTTCTTGATGTTTATTAACAAGAAAAGTTATTACATAATTGTCTTCATTATTTTGATTAATATTGTGATGCCATGAGCAATTCACTTTACATGATTGTGTATTATGCTGATTCTCAGAAAAAGCCATTTTATATAACTTAAAGATTCCTAAATAGTGACAAAGAAATGTTCACTTCTTAATATTTTGCTCATTACTTTTTTTATAACAGCCTTTACAGTAATCAAAACCATGTTGCTTGCAGAATTTATTAAGAAATAAAGTTACTTCATTCCAAGATATGAATTATTTTCCTATATAAAGTTCTCCTGCTTCATTGCTTTTTTAATCTTCACTAATTTCAGCCATTTCTTCAAAGCTTAGTATTAAACTAATAGTTATAAGTTTATATATTTATGTTTTATAATGCATTAGATACTATCTACTTAAAAAAAAAAAAAAAAATCTGAATATATATTTGTAAAATTTTTTGCATTTCAACAATATGCCAAATACCATCTTTCCTAATTTTATCTGCCACTTTTTCAAAGTTAAGTATCAAATTATTTATGCTAATAGTTATATATTTAGCAATGCACTTATACTATTGTTAAATTAAAAATAAATAAAAAACTGAGCTTATGTTTGTAATGCCTTCTGTGTCTTAGCAATGCACTAGGTACTAGCTATGCTAATTTCATTTACCATTTCTTCAAATATTAATGTCAGCCTATTTATATTAATAGTTATATATTTTAATAATGCATTTGTTTTAATTTAAAAAAAAAAAATCAAAACTTATGTTTGTCAGGATTGTCAAATTCACTCTCCTCAACGATCACTTGAACACGAAATTGGTGAAAAAGAAATTAGATTTTCTGCATAACTAGCAATAAGAAAGGTTACAAACAGCACTAAAAAAAAGAGATAGCAATAAGAAGAGCATTAAACAAGCTTAGTAATAGAAAATACCACAGGCACTAGCAAAGCAACAGTAGAGGAAAACTCAAGCTTCTATGGAAAATTTAGTAAGCAAACAGAAATTGTAGAGATTGCCATCAACCCTGTATGTTGATCTGTTTACATTACACAAGCAACATGTAACAGATTAGGCAAAACAGATATATGCAAAATAGTTAAACAAATAGTATAGACAAAACATCAATAGAACAATAGGCATGTGACAGAACATTCTAAAGAAATAAGCTACAAAATAGACAAAAGCATAGTACAAAAATATAGAGAGAGCCTACAAACCATTTTTATAAGAAGAGTATACTGAGCAATAAGTAGTGTGCATAACAATGTCTTTTTTAATGAGGCAGGCAAAACATATGCAGTACCAGATAGAGAAGATAGAATTGTAGCAATACTAACAGAGCAAGACCCATATGAGGTAGCTTTCTTATGATTAACAAGAGAAATACTGAAAAAAGCCGAGGAAGAACAACCTGAAAAGAAGCTAGACATAATCACAAAAAATCAGAATGCAGAAAAGGAACAAACACAATACAATTACAACAACAACAAAAAGCAACAAGAAATAAAAATAATAATTCAAAAAAAAAGCACTGAACAGAAGCAAGAAAAAAAGAGAACTACAGAGGAAGAACTCAGAAATATAGAAAAACAACAAGAAAAAATTAATATAACACAAAAAGAAAAAAGGACAGAGGTAAGTACAGAAGCTAACAATAAAGTTATATTGAAACCTACTGCCCAGAAACAAGAAGTCAAAGAACAAGAAAGAATGAATAAACAAGAAGATATAGAAATAAATGACAAGCAATTAAGACAAAACACACTAGAAGAAGAAAGAGAAAGACAAAAAAGAAGAAAACAAGAAACAAAGGAAGAAATTGACATTGTAGGAATAGCATTAGAACAAAGTATATAAGCACCAAGCAGAAAAAATTGTAATCGAAACAATAGCTTAATTGCCAATATACCAGCATATAAGGTCTCTAGAGAAACAAAAGAAGAATGTATTAAGTTTATTAGATGGTCTCTAAAAAATAATACATATATGAAAGACATCGATGAAGTATTCAAGAGAGGAAATCTGTAGATAGAAATGGTTTTTGACTGCAATTATGGCAAAGAGGAGCGATACAAAGAATTAATAGAAAAGAGGATGATTGGTACAAAATGATACCAGAAGAGGAGGAAGAGAAAGAAGAGAAAAAAGAAGAACTAAAAGATTACAAGAAAAAACATCAAAATAAAGGAAAACATGTACCAAGATCCAGAAAAAAGAAGATTAAAGTAGGCACTAACAGGGAAGAACCATACAATGAAGAATATGGGAAAGAAGAAAGACTCGTTAATAATATAACCTACCCAACAATATAGGACCTACCAGCTAATATAAACAAAAAAGAAGTAGAATATATCTGCAGAATAATTAAAGATGTGCAGATAGTATGTATTAAAAGGTTCAAGTACAAAGCATTAGCAATAGTACAAACACAAAACATAGAAGAAAAAGATATTCCATGGTCATTACTAGCAGATAACAATAAGTTAGTGAGAGTAACAAGAGAAAGAGAAGACCATGAAACAAGAGAAGGACAAAGAAAACATACAGCCAAACTAACAGAATTACCTGAAAATGCTTCAGAAGTCTTATTATTGTGATGTCTAAGAAGTAAAAAAGCAAAGTCAGTATACATCCTACCAAACTGAAATGGAAACCAAAGAAGAACAGCATTGATTATGTTCGCAACAGAAGAAGACATGAAGATAGCACAATCAAAACCAATTATGTACAACAATTTTCAGGTATACTAGGTTAATAAAAAGAAAAAAGAGCCCAAAAGAAGAAGAAATTTCAAAGATAGAAGAAGAAGAAGCTGAGATAGATTAAGTTAAACTTCTGATACAGAAGAAGATAAAAATAGAGAAAAAAGTCAATAGAACAGAATAGATATGAATAGAAAGAATAATTGGAGAGACCCAATACCAAAAGCCCAAAGAATAGAAGAAGGAAACAACAGTCTAAGACATAATATTAAAAACCAAAAAAGATACAGAAGTATAGATAAAGAGAAAGAAGAAAACCAAGAAAAAAAAAAAAAAAAGATAAGATGTATCAGCAAGAAAAGAATACACATATAGAGGATATGCTAGGCTGAATCTTAGAAAGACTAGAAAAACTAGAGAAAGTAAGTGTCTTAATAAGGGAAGGCATGGCCAATCGCTCCTAAAGGCAC